TAAACTCATAAGATTCATTTTTCTCAACATGTACATGTATACATCTGAATTAGATTGTGTTGCTTCTCTGTGTCATATAATATATGTGGTTATATGCATAATTTTGCATTTATTTGCTTGTTTGTTTTGTCATGGTTATGTAGTGTATATTGGAGGTGGTGATCCTTTGAGAGGTGTATGCAATGAAATTTCATTTTAATGTATGCCAATTAGTGTACGTTCAAAGTGACAATAAAGTTATTCTATTCTATTCTATTCTATTCTATTCTATTCTATTCTATTCTATTCTATTCCTATACTCTATTCTATTCCTATTCCCTTCCCTTCCTTTCATCTATATTCTATTCCAATTCTATTCTATTCTATTCTATTCTATTCTATTCTATTCTATTCCATTCCATTCCATTCCATTCCATTCCATTCCATTCTCCATTCTATTCTATTCTCTCCTTTTTCTATTCTATTCCTATATTCTAAAAGAAAGGAAAAAGAAAAAAAAAGGCATTGACCTTTGACTCCCTCTGATGTGGTAGAATAAAAGAGTAGCATCAAACCACATCTTTTTACTTTTATATAAACGAGCCATTTCTCTATGAACAAATCTATTGAATCGGTAAAACCCAGCATCAAAGTTTCTTTTTTTTTTACCCACCTCAAGCACAAAATCCAGAAGCAGTTCCCAAGTAAAGCCAAATGCACTTATAGTCTTTTCTTTGATGAAAATGGTCAGTTTAGCCATCTCTGCTTAATCCTTCAACTTTGATAATAGTCTCCTGTTGCTTGGAAATCCTCAGCTTTTTCCTGGTCTGTATTTAAGTCTGATTTAAAATAATACTAACCGGTGATGCTAACCATACTGGCTATTTAACCCATCCTTTCACAAACATGGACATAGAAACCCACTTTGGCCTACAATTTTAAATAAATCCAAATACTTAAATATAATTTTTTGGCAAGGAAAGCAAATTTTAGGCTGTTCTTTTTCTTTTTCTTTTCTCCCAGCAATGAAGTTCAGCATTTTACTAAAGTAGCCAGATGTGTGTGTGTATTGGATGTTGGATTTTAAATACCAAAGACTGGTGACTTGTCATAGTGTGATAAATTGTTTTGGGGTGATTTTAGCCATGAAGTTAAGAGGGGCTGACAGATATTATGACCTGATAAGAAAAGGAGACTTAAGGAATGCTTAGTGTAACTAATAAAGCTGGTATGTACAAGGATTAAGAGTGGCAGGCTGTTTGCAGGTCTAATTGTTTTTTTAAAAAAGGAGGCACAGACAGGAGAACTTACAGAGAACAGAAATTTTTTAAAAGAGACTGCCGAAGAAACAAAAGACAGAGAATTACAAAGCAGTTTCTCCTTGGAAAAGTCAATAAAACGGCCGGAGTTTGCATCTAAGGATTTGTCTGGAGTATCCTTAATCCAGCTTTCTTATTTTAGTAACCCTACAGCAACTTTGGAGGTGATTAGCATTATCCTGAAACAGTGGGTGGAGGCCCGTGAGCCCTGAGGCAGTCGTAAATATGCCTAATTTAAAGGGATGAAACACCGGAGCACTAGGGGAAAAAAAAACAGTAGTGTTTCCGTCTATGAGTGAGTTCTCTTTTAATTTCCTTGAGGAGGGAACATCTGGCTAGGGTAGTTAATGTAATTGCTAATGCATGCATCCAGCAGATGCCATAATGACTTTACACATGTCCGGACAACTTTGTGCAAAAGGCTGGGATTAAGCCATGATGTAAATGGCATAATTTGAACGATTTTAGTTACGTTGCAATGCCTGTGCAACTCCTCACTTGTAGATGGCAGAGAGGACTGGTCCCTCTTGCCCATTTTGCAACTCAATCAATCAGAATAGAGCTGGAAGGGACCTTGGAGGTCTTCTAGTCCAGCCCCACTGCTCAAGCAGGAGACCCTGTACCATTTCAGAGAAATGGATGTACAGTCTCTTCTTAAAAACCTCCAGTGATAGAGCAGCCACAACTTCTGGAGGGAAGCAGTGTCACTGGTTGATTGTCCTCACTGTTAGGATGTTTCTCCTTAATTCCAAGTTGCTTCTCTCCTTGATGTTCTCAGTCATCCAGGTCATGGTTGTCTCAAATGTGCTTTATTTTTTTCAAGAGGCAACTGGACTTCCTTGTTTTTTTCTTTTGAAGACCTTTCACTTCTCATCCAAGAAGCTTCTTCAGCTCTGACACCTTCCATTCCCCACTGTCCTGTCAGGAGTGGGATTTGGAGGTTCTCCAAATTGCGCAAAATCTTAGCTAGGGGCTCTCCCAAACCCCTGCAAATCCCCAGCAGCCCACCTCTGATTACCTGTATGGGAAACTTTCTTTTGTGACATTTCAAGGCCTGAAGATTTAATGTAGTTGGATTGCAAGTTGAGTCAGCAGCGTGTCAGGGTTGCAAAAACAAATTGTAATTGTAGACTTCTTTTATCCAAGACAACGGATTTGCATTATTCTGTGCTAATTGGGCTTCATCACCAGCCCTGCAGGAAATAACTAGATCAGCTTACCAAGAAGAACAAATGGAAACAAATGGATGAAATGAATTGAGACTTTGGAAAAAATTCAGAGAAAAGCAACTAGGATGGAAACTAAAACATATGAAGAACGGTTGCCAGATTTGGGTTCAGCCAATCTAGAGAAAAGAAGGACTATAGAGTAGAGTAGAGTAGAGTAGAGTAGAGTAGAGTAGAGTGGAGTGGAGTGGAGTGGAGTGGAATAGAATAGAATAGAATAGAATAGAATAGAATAGAATAGAATAGAATAGAATAGAATAGAATAGAATAGAATAGAATAGAATAGTTTATTGGCCAAATGTGATTGGCCACACAAGGAATTTGTCTTGGTGTAAATACTCTCAGTATACATAAAGAAAAAGTGCATTCGTTAAGAATCAAGAATCATAACAAACAACACTTGATGATAGTCAGATGGGACATGAGAGCAGTATTCTAGTATTTCATGGGCTGCCACAAAGAAGAGGGGGTCAACTTATTTTCCAAAGCACCAGAAGGTAAGAGATAGAAACAATGGGTAGAAACTAACCAAGGAGAGAAGCAACCTGGAACTAAGGAAAAATTTCCAAACCGTGCGAACAATTACCCAGTGGAACAAATTGTCTCCAGAAGTTGTGAGTGCTCCATCACTGGAAGTCTTTAAGAAAAGACTGGACAATTGTCTGAAATGGTATAGGGTCTCCTGCTCAAACAAGGGGTTGGACTAGAAGACCTCCAAGGTCCCTTCCAGCTCTATTCTGATTGATTGACTCAACAGAATTCAAACTTAGCCTCAGATCTTTTCTGCCATGGAAAGCAGGTTTTCCACCATCCCCATTGTCAGCGTTCCAGGGAAAATCCATTCCTGTCAGTAACTCCAAGACAAGCATAATCTCAAAGTACTTTTATTAGAATAGCACCTGGAACATTCTGTGGAATTCCAAAACTAAAAGTTTCCCGGCTTCCCCACAATGTCCCAACCTACAAACGATCCCCTTTTTTTATTCATCATCATATCACATGAACCAATCCCAAAGTAAGTTCCAATTCTTTCTGCGCTACACTCTTTAACCTTGAACTATCAAAAGAATTATATTTTGTCTACTAAGAGCCACTCAATTAACATCACCCCCCTCCCACTTTCTCCAGCTATGTGGCAGCGATGAATTATGATTCCATAGCTGACACCCATTGCAACGGGTTCCATCCTGTTTTTTTTCTCAAAAGACTATTGTTGGCTAAGCCTGACACTTACGTACGATTGTGCAATCAGTTGGCATCGTGTTCCAAAGCTTTTCAGCAAAGTTTCATCCCCTGGCAAGTGAATTCATATTTCTGACCAGGATCGATTGGCAAGTCATAGCCAACAAATTGCAATTAGATGGTTGTTAACTCAGCCACTCTTTTATAGCAACTTGTCATTAAGAAACTAGTTTTGCAAACGGTGTGTTTCTTTTCCTGTCTTGCTAGCCCAGAGGACATAGTTTGTTGATTTATTAGTTTAAAATACAAATTTGTAAAGTCTACTACATTGTGGTCTTTTTTAGAGCAAATAAATGTAGGTATTTGATTCTGTCCTTACGAAGGAATGTTGTATGATTTTTTCCCCTTTAATTGAAATATGTAGACATCTCTTTGGATTGCCATTTAAATTCTTCACATTTGTGATGTTGGACTGTCAGTCTTATCCCACAGGAGAGGTGGGATTCTAACGGTTCTCCCCGGTTCTACCAAACTGGTAACTCTGAAGATCAGCTGAGAGGGAACCAGTTTGCTCGATCTTCTATTCTTCTGTTTGACCAACCCACCCACCTGGGCTTTAGGCTGTCCTTTATTTCCTGCTTTTTCAACCTGAGCTGCTTTGCATGGCACAGCTAATTGCTGTGCACAACCTGTGTTATACACAGGGCTTGCAGGAGAAGATGATTTTCAAATGCTGCGCATGTGTTTGGTGCGCAAGCGTGCAAAGTGCAAGTCTATGCCCAAAGCATGCGCTCACTGAACTGGTTATTACACCAGTTGAATCCCACCCCTGTCCCACAGCCCCTCTAAACAAACTTAAACCACAGTAACATTGGAATCTCTCTATAAATGAAAGGCACTGTTATGTCCAGAATGATCACTGAGACACCCATCAACAAGAAAGGAGCACAAATCAACACAAATAATTTCCTCCTCCCCCCCCCCTCCTCCTCCTCCTCCTCCACCACCTCACTGTTTCCATTTTCTTAATGATAGGCTGTCTGAAACTTTTTCTTCCACTTTTGTGGTTAGGCTTTCCTGTTTAATTATACACTCCTTTGCAAACTTGGCACTCTTCAAACCGCGATTCAGGAGATATCCTCCTCTCCTTTCAGCTGTTACAAATTTAGAAAAGTGGGCCAGTCATAGAGGGAACAACTTCTTAAAAATTCCTCCATAGCCCACAGGATATGCGTTCACTTTTTCCTCTTGCTCCTTCCCTTTCTGCAGACCAAGAGCTATTTTCGGCCATGTATATTGATTTCATGGGCACTGACGCAGCCATTTTTCGCAGCTTAACCAGACGGAATGCAGTGAGGACTGATCAACACAACTCGAAATGGCTAAGTGGTAAGAACTTCTTACACACACTGTTGACTTTGCTCCCTCAAAGGGTGGATAAAGAGTTATTTGGCTCTGGGCAGAATATTTTATCATGTACATCAGGGGAACAAATGATGTTAGAAAGTAGCAGTCTCCACACTCTTGAAGTAAGAGATTTTTGAGTTATGGAGTTGCAAACCAAAGAAACTTTTGCTTTTGAATCTTCAGTACTACAAAGTCCTGCTAGATATCTATGAAGCTTCTCATCCATCCAGGTCATGATTTTCCTAAAGGTGCTTTTTCAAGAAGCAACTGGACTTTCTTGGTTTTTCTTTGAAGGGGTTTTGCTTCTCATCCAAGAAGCTTCTTTAGCTCTTCTGAAGAAGCTTTTTGGATAAGAAGCAAAACATCTTCAAAGAAAAACAAAGAAAGCTCAGGTGGCCTCAATGACCCTCTAAAAGGATGAAAATGACCAGCTGTCTGCAAGGAGTATGAAACCTTCCATTCCCCAACATCCAGCCAGAGCTGAAGAAGCTTCTTGGATGAGAAGTGAAACATCTTCCAAAAAAACCAGGAAAGTCCAGTTGCCTCTTGAAAAAAGCACCTTTGGGCAAGTCCTGCTAGAAGAAGACATCAAATGTTCCTGTGCTTCTTGTCCTGCCTTTGGGTGCTTTGAATAATAGATTCCACCCCCCACCCCCCCTGCTCTTCTTTGTGGCAAATATGTGTTTCTCATTGATGTGTGCTTCTTTGCCTTGTTTTAGAGCCCATCTTTGTGGATGCTCATCTCATCCCAGATGGCACCGACCCCAACGATGCTAAAGTGTACTTCTTCTTCAAAGAGAAGCTGATGGACAACAGTGGCACCACCAAACAGATCCACTCCATGATTGCCAGGATATGTCCTGTAAGCAAAGATGTTCATATGCCGTTAAGCACATGGATAATTCATAGTTGATGGCATAAGGTCAAATCATATTAGGAAACAGTCAATATAAATCAGGATACAAGTTAGGATACAAGCAACAAAGTTAGAGTCATACAGTCAAAAGTGGGAGGAGAGAGGCAATAAATAGTGATGAGAAGATTAATAGTAGTGCAGATTTTGTAAATAGTTGGACCGTGTGGAGGGAATTATTTGTTTAGCAGAGTGATGGCATTCGGGAAAAAACTGCCCTTGTGTCTAGTTGTTCTGGTGTGCAGCGCTCTATAGCATTGTTTTGCAGGAAGGAGTTGAAACAGTTTATGTCTGGGATGTGAGGGGTCTGTAGATATTTTCACAGCCCTCTTTTTGACTTGTGCAGTATATAGGTCCTTGATGGAAGGCAGGTTGCTAGCAATTGTTTTTTCTGCAGTCCTAATTACTCTCTGAAGTCTGTGTCTGTCCTGTTGGGTTGCAGAACCAAACCAGTACAAATCAGGAACAGTACATATAGCCTTCAACTTAAAAACATTAATTTTGTGACCGTTCAAAGTTAAGTGGCACTGAAAAAAGTGACTTATGACCACTTTTCTCACTTCTGACCATTGCAGCATCCCCCGTGGTCATATGATCTCAATACAGACCCTTGGTAACTGACTCATATTTATGATGGTTGCAGTGTCCTGGGGTCTTGTGATCATCATTTGTGACCTTCTGATATGCAAAGTCAATGGGGAAGCCATATTTGCTTAACAACCATGTTCCTCACTTAACAATTGCACTGATCCACTTAACAATGGTGGCAAGGAAGGTCATAAAATGGGGGCAAAGCTCACAAATCTGCAAATTTTCAAAGACCGGCTGAGAGAAGGTTAGCATTGGAAGTTTCTGCCTTCCAGTGCTATTTAAAGGTATAGACTCACTGTCATTGGCGTTAGCGGCAAGGTTGGTGATTGTGCTGAACTGAGGAAAATGAAGCAGGCTTGCGCAGTTGTTGGATGGTGGGGGGAATTTAACTATATAATTGTTCTGACCCAAAACCTTGTCTAATAAAACAAACATGAACCAAAGGGAACAGAAACCTTTTAATGATTCTTATGAATCCCCAGTTAAAAGGCTGCTGCAAACTAATTAACTTTGATAAGCACAAACCTTTCCAGAACTGTGTGAGTCTGCCAAAAATAACAGATAAGGTTACCTAGAAATATTTTGCAACACAAGAATCTTCAAATACCAACTAAGATACTGCAATGTCCACGAGGCTGGAGTTTCAAAACGTCTTTGCTTCCTGCAAAGAATGTCCGATTCACAGCTGGCTTTTATCTTCTTGAAGGAGAGGCCATTACCTTGCAGCCTTACTCCTGAGTCGCCTGTGCTGCTGCAGCTGCTCTTTCCTGTGAGCAGCCCTGCGCACATGTGCACTTGGCAAGGCTCCTCGGGAACCTCCTCATCACTGCCCCCACAATCTCTGAAGGCAGCAGTCCACTCCCTAATGGTCCTGGCTCCTCATCTTGGTCCTCGCTCTCCTCAGCTGTCCACACCTGCTGCCAGCTGACCACAACACTAATTCATCCGCAATGAGGTAATAGTCATAGGTGAAGGATAGGATACAGAAAAGGAAACTGTGGACATATTAGGTATACCTGGATGGTGAGGATAAGGGGTGATTAAGGGGATAATTAGGGGTGTGTACAGGAGATAGAAGCGTTTAGGTGGGTGTGTCTATACCTTTAAAAATCACTGGAAGGCAGAAGCTTCCAGTGCTAACCTAGACCGGATTGTATGCTGTTCTTGCCAGATGGAAAGTTCATTGTTTGACATTAAACACATTGAAATCTGCTTTCTGCTGTACAGTGGTTTGTGTGCAAATCTGCGAGTTTTCAAAGACTGGCTGAGACTTAACCAGGGGAGGAATACTGCCGGTTCGGACTGGTTCTATAGAACTGGTTGTTTTGATTCTGTGCAGTTTGGAGAACCGGCAAATCATGCCCCTGGATGGCCCCACCCCTCCCCACCCAGCCAGTCCTTATCACGCATGTGCGAACTTGCAGGCATGCCCAACATCGCTGATTACATTGTCCCCTGCCCAGTCACTCCTTAAGGTATTTCTTTTTTTTTTCCCCTCCCAACTATCAGCTTTTCCGACAATCAGCTGTGCCGGGATCCCCCTCGCTGTCTTACTTCTTCGCCCAGGAGGCTCCCCTGAAGCCCAGGAGGCAAAGGGGGGCACGAGGGTGGATGGGTGCTGCAAAAAAGAAAAAAGAAAAAGCCATGCCCACCCAGTCATATGGCCATGCCCATCTAGCCATGCCCACAGAACCAGTTGTTGAAAAAATTGAACCCCACCCCTGGACTTAACCAGTCTCACTGAAATTTGGGGCTCCATTGTGCCATAAGATGAGGACGATTGGTATCGTGCCAATGCAAAGATGCTGGAGATGGACATTTTAAAATCTCATCCAGCTGTGCTGTCATTTGCACGGATTGCTGTTGTTTTCTCATAAAAAAGATAATTAAACATTCAAATATATATAAAAAAAACCTTCAGCATTCTAAATCTTGAATCTCCTTTGCACATCCAGCACAGGATCTAATATTCTGAGGAGGTTGGTTTGCTTACTTGAAAGGAATGGGCAACTAGAATAGCTCCTTTGTGTGTGTGTGTGTGTTTTTAAATCGTTGTGTTTTTAAGTTGATTAATCTTTGCCAAAACATGACTTGTGACCTAGATTTTGCAGTGCTATTTTATCCTTATTATTCTTATTATTTTTTTAATAAAGTGCCTGGAGATATTTTTCAGAAGATACTAAATATGATGAAATCCTTGTTTTTGTTGTTTCTAATGAAGCCCAAGTAGATTTGGGACACATTTTTTTCTTGACTCCTCTGTGCCAAAATGTGAAAAACAGGCTTCAAAAGATTGTGATTGGAACGTGTGTTTGTTGCATTTCTGATGACATTCTTACAATTTGGCATCAAGAATCTTACTCAAAGAGTTGGCCGAAGGCCAAAGCTACTTAATAAGTCCATTTCAACACAGGAAGATTGAAGTTTGAAGTCAGTCTTCCCATTGTGGAACCGCTGTCAGATCACAAGTTTAATTAGCACCTTGCAATTCAATAAGGCAATAAATTAAAAGCACAAAGACAGAAATCAACAAAGGACATAAAACTGTGCATCAATGTACAATCAGCAATAAATCAGTAGCTATCCAAATAAGGTGTAATTCTTCAAACTTACCCTGGGGGTTTTTTTTAATGCCTGTTTTATTTGATTAAAAATCATTTTCTTCAGCAAGGAATTTTGTAGTGTCCTTCAATCTCTAATTTGTTTAATTGCTCAGTAAGCAAATCTATGTTTTATTAGTTAATATCTATCATACACAGTGGGAACGATCCTGGTGGGAAGTAATAGATACATTCAAAACTTAAACAAATCTGTTTGTGAAATGATGCATCCAAAGAGGAAGAATGGATACAGTATACATACACACACGCGCACACACACACACCTACATATATATGTGTAGGTCTAGGTGTGTTCGGGTCTTTTCCCGTGTAAGATTAAGATTATCTTGGTGACGTTTCGGCGAGGTCCCACTCACCATCCTTAGGCTGGTGCTTTCGGCTTCGTGCCAGTGCAAGCAGTGTGTGATTGGAGCTGCCATCTCTCCATAAATACTGGTGGTGGGGACTGGTGTGCTGGGCTGGTTGGCTGCGCTGCTGCCTTTTGATTGGTTGATGACTTGATGTTGGTATGGTGTCATAAGTCATTTCCTATAAAGGGACAAAATTTAACCCTATAACAAAAGTGTTACATTTACCAGGCAAGCAGCCTCTCTCTCTTTAATCTAATGTCCAAAAGCTTCTACATTTCTCATCATTCTGACTCTAGGCATTGGTTTTATTTTGTTTTGTTTTTTCTGTTCTGTTTTGTTTCATTCTGTTCCTTTCTGTTCTGTTCCTTTCTGTTCCTTTGTTTTGTTCTGTTCTGTTGCGTTTTGTTTCATTCCATTCTGTTCCTTTCTGTTCTGTTCAATTCTGTTCCTTTCTGTTCTGTTCTGTTCTGTTCCTTTCTGTTCTGTTTTGTTCCTTTGTTTGTTCTGTTCTGTTCTATTTTGCAATGTCTGTCCGCTCCAGGAAAAACGGGTAATCCCAACTTACAACAGTTCATTTAGTGACTGTTTGAAGGTACAACAACACTGAAAAAAGTGACTTTTTCACCCTTATGACCATTGTACATCCCCACAGTTATGTGATTTACATTTCGATGCTTGACAATTAACTCATATTTATGATGGTCACAGTGTCCCAAGGTCACATGATCGCCTTTTTGTGACCTTCTGAGAAGCAAAGGCAATGGGGAAACCAGGTTCACTTAATGACCATGTTACTCATTTAAACACTGCCGTGATTTACTTAACAACTGTGACAAGAAAGGACGTCAAATGGGGCAAAACTCACTTGACAGATTTCTCACTTAGCAACAGAAGTTTTGGGCTCAATTGCAGTCGTAAGTTGAGGACTTACCCCTACAACAGAAGCCTTTGATCCACTCAATTAATCCTTCATCGTTTCAATGTAAGAGGATAAGAGTGTGTATTTCTCTTTGTCCGAAGGCTTGGTGAAAAATGCAAAGAGAGATCAAAATCATCCTTCCATAATGCAGATCTTTCTCTTTTTTTTTCCACCTGGCAGAATGACACAGGTGGGCAGCGAAGTCTGGTCAACAAATGGACCACTTATTTGAAGGCAAGACTGGTGTGTTCGGTCTTGGATGATGATGGCACGGAGACCTATTTTGATGAATTAGGTACAGTGGCAACGTTTTCATAATTTGGCCCCATGGGTTGTGTGTTGTTCAATACACAGTGGTACCTTGATACTCAATTACTCATTAAATTTGGTACTCAACTTTGTTAAAATTATGAGCTGTGGTGGCATGATATTATGTGGTTAGAATGCAGTAGTCCCTTTCTTTCTTTCTTTCTTTCTTTCTTTCTTTCTTTCTTTCTTTCTTTCTTTCTTTCTTTCTTTCTTTCTTTCTTTCTTTCTTTCTAGGTTAACTCAGCCTTCCAAACTTCCAAGGTCAGTAAAATGAGGACCCAGATTGTTGGGCACAAGAGACTGACTCTGTAAACTGCTTAGAGAGGGCTGGAAAGCACTGCGAAGTGATATATAGGTCTAAGCACTGTTGCTATTGTTAAAATATTGGACTACCTGATATAGTATTGTAGGGTTAATGTCCTTTAAAAAATAATAAGCATAACATTTATCTGCATGGCCTTCGTATTTGAAAATGATCAAGGGCAATTAAACCATATCTTGGGGTATCATAGAAAGGACACCCGATGGGAACATGGGTGAGAGTTTCTACCACAACATCAAAGAATGGGCCTCTGTGGAAATAGGTTGTTTGCAAAACTGAGTTTGTCGGGAGGAGAGAAAGCCTGGAAACTGGCTTGCAATATGGAAAATATCCACCTTCCAAGTGGCAACTACAAGATTGTCTAAATTTGACAATGCAGAGGCCTGTATATTTAAATATATATCCATAACCTTCTTAACAAAGCCAGTTCCCCAGGCATTTTCTTATGTGCCAGTAGAAAGGCAAATCATAACGAGAAAATGAGCTGGACCCTCTCTAACAGTTTACAAGAAGTTTCGCTTCAACTCATTTGTTTCTGGACTCTCTTTTCTTGTCTCCATTAGTTCAGGGCAATGTGAGCTGGGGAGCTAGTTATACACCACCCTTAAGTTAGAATAAAGAGAGGTTTGGGGACCCTGGTGGGATATCCCAAATGATCTCATTGTCTGCGATCCCTGATGAGGTCATTGGTGTTTTACTTTCTCCGTTCTTTCTCTGGGGAGGGCGCCAGCAATCCTGTCAGCAGTTTCACCAGCTGGGAATACTTCTTAGTCTAGATAGAATCACCAAAGATCGTAATATCTCAGATGGAGGTAGTCCAAATGTTTAGGGATTCTTATCCTTGTTATCCACAAGAGTAGGGATTCTAGTGGGTTGCCACAAAGCGGAAAAGGGTCAAGCTATTCTCCAAAGCACCCGAAGGCTGGACAAGAAGCTATGGATAGAAACCAATCAAGGAGAGAAGCAACCTAGATCTAAAGGGAACTTTCCTGACAGTGAGAACAATCAACCATTGAAAAGAGTTGCCTTCAGAAGTTGTGGCTGCTCAACAGGGATGGGCTGCTGGGGGTTTGCAGGGGTTCGGGAGAGCCCCTAAGCTAAGATTCTGTGCAGTTCAGAGAACCCCCAAATTCCACTCCTGACTGGTCCCACCCACCCTGCCGCTCCCCTCCCAGGAGCCCCCACATAGCCCGTTTTGGATGCAAGTAAGTGCAGGGGGGTGCAAGAAGGCTCAGGGAGGCCAAAAAACGGGCCTCCCAGAAGTTCAGGAAGACTGGAAAAGCGGCCGTTTCTGGCTTCCAGAGAGCCCCTGGAGCCCAGGGAGGGCAACCCCCCCCCCGCCATGGTGCAGGAGGCCAACTAGGCCACACCCACCATGGCTACACTCACCCAGCAACCAAGCAGAGAACCCATTGCTAAAAATTTTGAAGCCCACCCCTGGTGCTCCAACACTGGAGGTTTCTAAGAAGAGATTGGACAGCCATTTGTCTGAAATGGTGTAGGCTTTCCTGCCTGAGCAGGAGGTTGGACTTGATGACCTCCATGACCCCTTCCAACTCTGTTATTCTGGTGCACATAAGTCACCCACAGTCACCAAAAGCCACAGAACATCTGAGCCCCAAATGAAGAAATAGATTGCAAAAGCAGATTCACGTTGAATAGGCTCATTCATCTTGAAAGGTGTGGATGCAAATGCAGAATTATCCCAACTGGAAAACAGCTTTTGTGCAATTTATGGTAGCAATCACATGTCTGATCCAGTCTAATATCTGGGTCCTAAGTGAACGAGTGATTTCATGGTTTAAT